GGTTAATCCCGTTCCAGCAAATGGTTCGGCGGCAGTGTTGCAGGATGTGGTGGGTTTCCGCCTGACAAGCGTTCTCCCTATAAAAAGCCACAAATGTCTGTCTAACAACACTGCGACGTGGTGGATGTGACTCGCCACTAAATAAAGTCACTGCTACTTGACTTTTCGGAGGATCTTACACACAGCACGTATGTTATCCGATTGGAAGTCCTCCCTTTGACCTTTTTTGATGCAGAATCCGGCGAGTAAAACCACAAATTCAGAGTAACATTAACAAACACATTAACAAATACACAAACATGACTACTTGCACATACACACAAACAACTACATGCATACATACACATATGTTACTGGTTAACCTGTAATGCTTTTATGCAATTACCGATCATACATGTTCGTATTACCATGATCATGCCCTTACAGGCGTGCTTCGCACTGCCGAGAATAAACTATTTATTTATATCTTTGACCATCCGAAGCAATCTAATATCTTCATTTTTGGCTTACCCTGCATACCTAGGAATTCTTTCCGAAATATTTGTCATGCTTCAATAACTGAAGGACTTAATGAACTGTCCTTTTAGGGAATCTAGGGAGGAGAACTCATTGGATTCCCTCATCAGTAAATCTTCAGTCATTTCCTGGAATTCCTCAAATTGATATTAATTCACATTGCGCAGCTGTCCCGTACTATGCAATCGCACTTTTATATGGTGCTGTACGCCCTTGGCTCCTCACAACATACATCTGCTGCTAGCTAAATCTCCGGCACCTGACAAGCAATTAAGCCGGTGGCATCCGGTCCGATAAGATAATTATGAAACTCATCGATGTTGGTTGACCCCGTTTTCAGCCTGCATTCTCAACGATTTCTTGACTTGTCCCCAACTACCATAACCCTTCCACCCTAACCGGAGTGTTTCATAGCTAGAAACTCACCATAACTTATTTAACCAGTTGGCGTGCAAATCTCACCCGACAAAATCCAAGACACCTATGTCGCATGTCTCCGCACCTCGTAATTTACTACAGAGTGCACAATCTTCGCTCGACGGTATCACTTTTTTAGTCAGACTGTTTTTTTTAGTTACGGAGACCTAATTTACGAAAGATACAACCCAATGTTGTAGGTATATTTATCAGTACCACAGTTTTCTTGGTTGTCAGGTTAAGCACTCGGCGTTGGTTGTAGTGTACATGTACCCGGCAACTTTCAAGCATCACTGTCAAACAAGCCCTTCAAAGATAGCAACATTGACACCATCCTTATACTTGTCCGTACAGCAAGTACTTCGATTCCTTCTGGTTACGTTTACGCCCCTTCGAAGCCCGGTGCGGACAACTTAAAAAACCAGCAAGTGTTTGGAGGTGGCTTCAAGGTGTTCGATGTTGAGTGAAGATCGTACACCGCGAATGATAAATGTACGAGTCTAATTTCCTACCTACACATACTTGGGTGAAAGCAACATGTTCATCCTCCCAACAGAGAAGACTAAACACTTGATTTGTTCCTTACACTAGCCTTATGCAAAAATTATGCCGTTGCTCTGGATCGATTCCCGGGCAGTGAGCAAAAGTTGCTCAGAGAATCAGTCAACAGCTAAAAAAGCACCCAGTTTTCTTCGAAAGACCACATACTTAACCGATCCCGACACAATTTGTAGTCTCATTTAAATCATCAGAAGAACTACATCGGGAATCTTTCACTAATCTTCTGAGATCTGTACAATGGGATACTTTCTTACTGACGAATGACGTGCAAATGTCTGCTGACGAGTTGTAGGAAAACATTGAACATTGAACACTAGGTGTATCCCCCGTACAGCAAAATTACTTTTTATCCCCGATGGATGTGCCCACGAAATCGCCCAGCTTCGTTGATGCTATATGAAAACGAAAACCCAGTTTATTGGATTATAGCCACAATAGGTCATCAAACTGGAAATGTTTGGGCAAAACAGATGTTTAAGTGATGAAAAACACGTACTCAGTAAACTTACTAAAACTATGAATCTCCCAAGCTGATGAAAATTGGAAACAAAACTAGAGCAACCCCTTCATTACGATCCCTGGCAGCCGCCTGATAAGCGATCTAGGTCATACTAGTGAAGCTTTCAACAACTACTTCTGCTCCAACCTTAACACTACTATTGAGGTCACAGCACATCCATCTATCCCCTGCTTATCGATGATAAGCTCAGCACAGTCGAATTCGATCTCTGTGACATTAAGATCTTATTTCCTAGGTAAATAACCTTGATATTGTGGACTGGCTAATTTACCGCCAATTTTGTTAAAGTTGGTGGCGCCGATATTACAATATCCATGAGAACTGGTGTTATGTAAGCAGAATGAAAGAATGCTGTAACTGCTCTATGCATGAAATGAGCAGCTAGTGTCCAATCAGCCATACGTCTATCCTTCCCGAGATGAAAGAATGTCATATAAAATACAAAACTGTTGAGGTCTTGATGACAAAGAATAAAAAACCGCTTACAATAAGGCCTCGTGATCCTGCATAACATGTCACATGAACATCCTACACTTGTCTACCTTGACACTTGGCATTTGATGATGTTCCGCATGTTCACTCCTTATTCATACTAAACACATATTTGATCGAAAATATCCTGCTTTAGTGGTTCGATTCCCCAATCACTAGCAGAACGCAGGTATTCCAGACACGAAAAAAAACAAACGCACCTAATCCAGTCACGAGTGATTTGATACAAGGACAGTGTCCTTAGCCTCTTATTATTCCTAATACACATGAATAACAAGTTCGACGTCTGTCTCCAGAAAGACTTCCCTATTTGGTGTCGGTAAAAATTACTCAAGTTTTTAAGCCCACTGGTGTCAGTGAGATGTTCAATGCAATTTAGTATGATTTACACCCGCTTACTTTGTGTTCGAGGTGGAGATGTTATTGTGCGCGGACAAATGCCGCATAGTGTCCTGCAGGGTTCGCGGACCACTGGCGGTGAGGCACCGTCTCACTACCAAACTATCCGCGAATTAGACGTACACTTTTTGCGGAGATTCGTCGCAGTTAGACTCAGGCAGACAGCCAGAGGTACACTATGCGGATACTCCAAGTTCGCTGGGCACGTCGAACATATGTAACTCAAGCTCGTAAGAGCATCGGGATTCTCTTCAAAACGGTCATTTTGTGAGTAGATTAACGCCACATACAAATTACAAACTTGTCCATTGCTAGATTACACATCCAAGATCGAGAAAGAGTGACCGCAAACATATAGAGCGATCGTGGCGGTCATTTACCACCACCACATCATCATCATTATGGCATTGCGGAATGAAACAGCGTAGCCGAAAAGCATTCTTCAAATGCAGTAGTACAAGCAAAAAGACCGGCGAGATATTTCACAGTGGTCGTGAAAAGATCAAGAACGAAGCAATCGGAGAACTTTGTCCTTAACCGACACTCCAAATTATGGAGGAGACTCTAAATGAGATACGTAAAACTCAGACAGCGATTAGGTCATACAATGCTGGCTTATCATTTCTGTCGTCGGACTCAATAGTTTTTCCGTAGATAACGTCGCAAAACTGATTTAATGGCAGTTTTCTAACGCTTTGGGCCAAGACCAGTATCAGCAATATTGTTAGTATGATGACAAGAAGTATTCGCGTAACACTATGTTTAAGTTAACCAAAGCGTACATTTGTCTTCCAGTGTCTTTTATTTGATCTGCAATGCTAACTCTTTCCTTTGCTTCCCTGGAGGTAACAATTTGGGTACATCAAGCAGTTTTTAGTGCTCCATGAAGTCCGTTCTATTATTAAAGCATCAGCTTCTCGAATGTATGCAATCGATCGATCACTTTAGGAATTCGTTTCTTCTATTCCCATGTACAAAGTGAATCATACAAATTGTTAGACTGTTCCATACTACAAGGAAATGTAGCATTTATGTGTTATCGTTATTTCACCCTATCCATATATGTTTTTTGTGTTCCATTGTTGACCACGACCAGGCGGACACTCTGAGGTGACTGAGGCTATCAGGCTAATTAGTACACCCACACAAGTCGAATAACCATAGATTCACCGGCAACTAATAAAACTACCGGGATGGATGGGAGGGGTTGAATGATGAAAAAGGCTGGACGGTCCAAGAGCTCTTTCTATACGTATATAACAATGGCTCGTGAAATGAATCAATGCGGTTTTGGCTTACTTGATTTAAAGCCACATGCGGACACGGCCAGATTAGGTGTGGAAGTGAGGACGAAACCTTTCGAGAGACCACATCGCATGGAAGTAGGTCACGAGAGACGCGGTTCAAGGGATAGCTGCATTATTTCAAATGAACGTTTGGCTGTATCTATACTTCTACTTACTCTCAACTTCTCCGTCTTTCTGATAAATTTAACTGAGCAATTATTTGTTTCATGGGAGTCCGCTGTGCGAATTGATCGAACCACTAGGTTGGAATGTATTTCGCGTCGGCAAACAATGTACAACTAACTTACTCATGAAACAATGTTAACCAGGAAAAGTGGAAAAAGTTAGACCTGAAAAATTTTCCCTGTATGTTAAAGCATGGAAAATGATCACTCCTACGTAGGGATCGTAGACTATTTGTCGGAAAAGAGGAAATTTTATTCATCCGTTTACAAAGACCGGCCGGTGGCCAAGTGCATAGGTCTTCATACTAATAACCAACAGATTGTTGGTTCGTAGACGCAAGCAACCTAGCATTATCATCCATAGTGTACACGCGGTTTGTGCTGGCCCAGTGAATGCGATGCGTCGGTACGATGTACCGGTGTACTGCTAATGCCTTGCCTGAAACTAAAATGACTCAGCCGAGTGGTTCCTATTAGTGGTACCGGAGAAAATTAGATTGGGCGTATCATGAGCAAGAGGGAAGGGAATGAAAAGTTACGCACGAGAAACGATAAGAGGCAGAACTAATGAAGTCAGCGCAAATTGTAGGTTAGTTTAGTAAACAAACCAGTTTAGCGACTCACAGTTGGTGCCCGCTGGCTATTTTCATATGGCGGTTCGGGTAAGTCAACAGTGGATGGGGGATGTTCACTGTCTTCGGTATCATCCTCAACAACTCGAGACAAGTGGGTAGAAATCTGATGCATCGAATTCCCGTTAGAGGGCTGCATATTTCGAGTTGCAGAGCTGGCGGACTGCAGATAAGGACAGGGAAAAATGATCGCGGTGCCGTCTTCCAACTCGGCTGTTGCAGTATGACCAGTCGCGATGCGTTTCAACTGGCCAGGAAAAGAGACTCGCGCGGATTCGATGTTACGCAGCTGAGAACTGCGGACGCTGTGACGAAAGACCAGGAAAGAAATAACGAACGACAAGGAAGAAAAATATGGTCAGAGCATGTGGGACCAGAAGAGAAGAAATCGTCTAAAAAGCATCGGAAGCAGTTGATTGTGTGGCGCGAACCAATTTCAAACCGAACAAAGCGCTTATAGAATGCTCAGATAAAGGCACGGGGATTGCGGTAGCAAGACCGGAAGGTTTTAATAAATGGAAGAATAAATGAAGTCAAAACTAGTGGTGATTTCAAAGTTCGGCTCTGACATAATTTCGTTCGGACCACCAAAAAGTAAAACGCTCGGAGGTTGAACTGAGACTTGTGGTTCAAGTATGGCAATTAAAGGCAATCAAACAAAATGGTGCATCGGCTGAAGAGCAGAAAGAGATGCTCACCTCCATTCGATGGCGTGAGACAACGATGAGAAAACCTGTGGACGGCCAGAGAGAAACGCAGTCATTCCCTGTAACGAGTTCAACGCGGAGCCTGATGTAGGTAAAAAAATAAGAAAACAGAAAGAGGGAACTAGATTTCGACATTGAGCACTATCCTAACACAAGATGCTGAGAACGTGAAGCGGTAAGCTATGTCATTATGCCGACGAAAAACAATTAATAGAAGTGTGGACGAGGAGAAGGAACCAAATATCTCGCCAAACAAGTGGTCTGTCAAAATGGACAGTGTTCCGTAGTGCATTCGTAAGGAAAGTATGCACATCAGGGAAGAGAATACTTTGTCACCGATTAACTCTACGATGATGTCTCCTACTGTGACGGTGTTCGTAAACGCAAGTGGAGACCGACCAAATGACTAAGGGACATAGCTCACAAAAAAGATGGCGACCGCATCGGCCCTAAATGAAACAGCTGGCGGTAGAAGAGAATAAGGATGTCTTTGTGTTAAGAGAGTGGTAACTGAATTATTCTGAGCACCGGAACTTGGTAAGAAAGTGATCCTAGACGGAGACGGTTACGGATTTTAGAGTGGTGCAGGTAGGTGCAGGCAGGTGGTGAGGTAACAAGGTTCAACTCAAAAAGGAATATCAACGGTACGCCGTACCGACACCTTGCAACCACGTAATTACCACCAGTCATGCGAGGACTAACAATACTGTCAGGGTTACTGGGTTCCAGCGTAGCCGGAATGCAATAACAACAACTACTATTGAGAAATAAGGACACGAGAGGTGGGTAAGCGTAAAGACTGAATAATCCATCAGTGTGGGAAAAGAAACTGCGCGCTTTTTCAGAAAGATCCGTTGGACCCCCATATGAGTTTCTGTTTCACATAATTCGGTGCCCAAAATGATAAAACAATCCAAAATGTCAAATACGTGAGCGCGACGTGTTGTGCATAGTGTTAACGTTGGACAACGAACAGGCGGAGGTAACGGTACACACGAGCAAAACCCGTATGGGGTATGGCCCATGTCACAACTAACGCGTACACCCGTTATCACTATCCTCGGCGTGCTTTTCCTACCGCGTGGTGGCTTTCAGATCACTTAGCAAAAGACATATATATATATATATATATATATATATATATATATATATATATATATATATATATATATATATAAAATACACAATCTGTGGTACAGATATTGTGCCATCGGAATCATGGCTGAATAGGAAAACAATATGAATAATAAGAAAAGAGAAACAACAAATGCTTTTTTTGTCTATTTTACCACTCACAGTTTTTGAAATTTTTTTCGGTTTGTTCTTTTTTTAGGGGGAGGAAGAAGGGACACCGCAACAAACCGATGCACACGTCCGCCATTGACATCGATCTTGAGCCATAACTTCCAAGGTCTTCAACCAGCAAGTATCCTCATCTCTCGGACCCCAACCAGGTAATCGATAACAACCGGCCGAGACCAACTGTTTCGTCAACTTTTTCATGCGGCTTCTCCATGTTGTAGGCTGTCCACCAGACCGTCTCTTCCAGCCCTATCCAGCAAGTGCAAACGACGCACGACGGGGGTAACGCTGGACAGGCATGCGCAATACATGTCCCAACCACCGCAGTTGATGCAGTGAGACGAGCTCCTCGAGCGAGTGGCTTCCACGTCCCAAGACACGCTGTCTAACTTCCACATTGCTTACGTGGTGCTACCACCACACACGGGCAATGGACCGCAGACAGCGGTGCTCGAAGACGGATAGTCCGTGCAAGTCATCATTACGAATGGGTCAGGTCTCGCATCCGTACAACAGTACAGCACGAACAGTTGCACAATAGACCCGCCCTTTGATGGAGAGACGAATATCGTGGCGACGACCCAAATGCCTCAGCCTAGAAAAAGCGAGGCCTGCTCTCGAGATGCGCATCGAAATCTCGTCTCCAACAGCCGCGCCAGCGGTGATGCAACTGCCCAAGTAGACAAAGCTCTCCACAACCTCTAGTGTCTCACCAGCAAGCGTGAGTGCAGGCAGAGGCACATGCCAGTCTTGAAGGAGAGCCTTGCATTTGGATGGCGAAAAATACATACCGTACTTTGATGCTTCAATCGCCAAGCGGTTTAGTGCAAGTTGGACGACCTGTGGATCGTCACCCAGCAAGACGATATCATCAGCATAATTCAAATCAACAACTCGACTACCTGGGAGGAGCTCAACGCCAGCGTTCAACGAATCGCTCAGAGCGTTCTTCAGGACATCCTCAATGGCAAAGTTGAATAGGAACGGAGAGATAGGGCATTCTTGTCGAACTCCACTGGAGACCACAAAGGTAGGCGAAAGCATGCCATAAGCCCTAACCCTGCCCGAGGTCAGACTATATGGAGCGCGCAGTATGGAGAAATTGACAACGAGATTTGGTCATGCTGGTACGTACTGGCTGTCGATGAGAGATCGGCCACATCAGCAGCTGAAGTTCGCCACTGACGTGGGGCAATTGAGGAGTTAATGGTGCTTCGGTATTCCGCCTTTCGCGCTCAGTTGCTAACGTTTCAACTTGAAAAATTACTGACGCCTATTCCTGGCCCGCTTTGCTTCGTACATCCTCTCCTCTACCAACTGATCACTATGGCGAGGAGAGCAATGGGAATCACTGCGCATCGGTGCCCGGGACGTAGTTGTAGAACCGAACTGAACTGAACGTCACAATGAACAAAATGGCAGGAACGCATTGGTAACAACTCCCGGTACAGGGAGAGCCCAACAGTGAATGACGACCAACAGCGTCGCTATAACCGTGTAACCTAGCGTCCATTTACATTCAGTGTGGATAGAATCAATAGGCTTGAAGTAGTGCCTGCGATTACATCTGTGATGCGCGTGTGTACAGTGATAAGCAGAGAGTACACGTCAAAGCGATAGCGTGAAACAACTAAGCCAGACGCCTTTGGGGTTAAAGGGAATAAAACAAAATGTTGAATACGAGCATGAGTCGGAGATGATCGTGCGGAAGAAAATGTGAGCACATAATAAGGGAGCACAACCGGGCTCGAATATCACCATAGAAAGCGAAAAGGTGAACCCAACTGATGTCATCTGAGCTCATTTACATTGAATGTCTACAAAAAGTTTAAACAAAGCGTTCAGCGGTTTTCTGTCAGAAAGCAAGAAGAGGCTCGTCACATTCGATCATCGCTGTCTTCGCAGTTTATCTCATGTCTGGTGGGAACACCGCGTGAGCAATGAGCGTGTTCGACGTCGCGTATTTGGTGCAGGAAGAGCGAGTGAACCGCTCAGCACCATTATATCACGCACCAGGCTCCGATGGCTGGGCCACGTGTTGCGCATGCCAGCACACGGACTCCCGCGACGTGCATCGTTTGCGCGTTGTGGGTGCGGTTGGAAGAGGAGGAGGTGAGGCCAAGTGATGACTTGGTCGAGAGAAATGAAAACCCTCACTTCGAAGTTGGCGTCGGTTGGTGCATCCCGACTGCCTGGCTGGGGTCCTAAGGACGATGAACACGTCTGGTTGGACATACTTGCTGATATGGCTTGGAGCCGGCCCCAATGGCGTTTGTGTTGTGAGTTCGTTTGTCCATCCCCCTCCAACCACGATCTCATTTGTTAGGCATACTATGACTCTCTTTCACGGCAGCCAGCTGTTAGCTCTCCGGAACGATGTCCATCCTTTACTGTGGACTCAGCGGGCGTGCTACTGTCTGTTTTTCTTTTCTTGTCTTTTGTATTGCGGCACAATAGCTGAGGTGTTTTCCACCTCCAGCTAACGTGTAATGATGATGATGATGATGATGTCAGAAAGCAAAGCAGTTGGAACATATAGTGAAGGAGATAAGCACACGGGTGCATCATAACTTACCTTCGACAACGTCGATGACCACAAGTCCAGCCATAGATGGGATAGTCCTTTTGTGTGCCACATGCACGGCAACGGCTCCGCCCATACTGAATCCGATCAAAAAAATGGACAATGAAAGACGACAAAAAGTGCCGAAAGAGCTATGCTGCCATAAGCTGTCTAACAGGTCACACTTATAGTTAGACTCGGATAGCGTCAAACAGAAACATGTCCGTATTAACCAAACAGTTTGGATAGGATGCGATACGTAAAACATCACTGCAACGTGTGGGGTGGCATGTCCACAAGTGTTCAGAGACGGATAGGGTGAATCCAGTTGGAGGAGACAGAGAAACCACACCAATTTAGCGATTAGGGGGATTTCATTTTTCGCAGATAGATAACAAGCGTTCTCACCGAAACGCTTCAGCAAACAAGATGATTTTCGGTATGCGACAGGTAGACTTACAAAGCGCACGCCGGGAACGCCATGTAGTGGGTGCAACTGGTTTAGTTCAGGGACGATGGCAAGTGATGATCATTGCAAATGACTGTTAAAGAGGTAGTGGAAACACCGACAACAGTGACACTGTAGGAAACGACGGTCAAATATATGGAAACACTTTGAACTCAAATTGGAAAGGTATGGACACATCGCCTTAGGGAATGTCATTTATCGGAGTGATGTGTATACACCATTTAAGACGATAGTGACCGCTCTTCTGGTGACAGACGTGCTGTTCACTGCCAAAATGGTTACCTTTGACAATACGCAAACCGAGTACAGAAATCCCATCTTCGCAGTTACTGATGACGATAGCGTAATGTAAAAAATGAAGAGGGAGCAAACAGATAGTGGTGCTGCAGGGCCAACTAGCAACTGCAAGACGCACATAAGTGCTAACTGATGGGATCGATTGGGACAGCTCGTTAGAGAAAGGGTTCGTCGATCGCGAACACTGAGCAGCAGAATCATACTCTACAGATTAAGCAGCACAAACTCAGGAAGACCCTCAATGTCTGCGTCGTGAGACACCACAATAGAGCATCATTTCACGATGTTCCCCACGATGAAACTGAACAGAAATAGTGGAACGGAACAACTTTGGTGAACACGCGATCGGAGTTTACCGGATGCAAGACACATTCATTACCAGCTCATCAACAGCAGTACATTAGCCATCTGAATTGACGCTTAGATTTCACACCACCACGGTGAGATAACAAACGAAAAATAATGACAAGCAGAATAAAGGGATCAGGCGTAAAACCTTAATGCCCCAAACAAACACTTACGGTCAAGGCGCCTACATTCGGTAAACAACATACCATTATAAAAGCTGGCTATCGTGTAAAGACAAAGCGGCATCGGAGAGACAGCATCCTTGTGGTGTTCACTGCCGTGCGTCATAACCAGCCGTTACTCCGCAGATAACACAGCAACAAACACACTATAAACAAGCCGTCCAACTAGAAGACGACAACAGGCACGCCCCTGGTATCGACTGCGAGCCGTCTTGTAAAGTCTCGGGCCAAGCACAAGGCGGGTCCCGTGGACCCCAGCCTGGAAGGCGAGTTGCTTATCCATGTTCGGTCAGCAAACGTAACTACGGGTTAAGGTTTACATGCGATTTATTCAAAGATGACCAAAGTGAAACTGCTTCAGAATAGATTCCTGCAAATACGTAGATACCGCAACAAGTTCGGAAAAAGGATACACCCATCGACTCCAGCCGAGGAAGACCGACGTTGAAATCGTTGAGATGGGCACTATGATGATGGGTTAGTCGAAGGACTGCACTACATCGATTCTACACTCGAAGAAATTGGAAAATTTATGAAATATAAGCAACAGTCGATGCCAGAACTATCTGATCCTGATTGGCTGGCTGATTTTGTAATTTTGGGTGATATTACACGGCATCTGAGCATGTTAAACACGAGTCTTCAGGTTAAAATGCAGTGGTATTTCCACATCAGTCTTTGGGAATAAGTTGCAAGTTTGCCAAAGAAACTATCTCAAACGCAGCCTAATACCTATCACTAAAGAAAATCATGACAACTATTCCAGAAAGTAGCATCAGTGCACAAATGCAGAAGTGTGTCGCAGATATTGTATCCCTGTCTGATGGGTTTCATCAAAAGCACTTTTAGTAATTCGCGGTTTTCTGGAGAGAATAACAGAAAGCGGTGAGCTAAACGCAAACAATTGTTCACAATTACTTCTTAATCAGGCGTTCACAGTAATAGACGTGAGTACACGGTTAAGTTTCATTTGTTGGTAAAAAGGAGAAAGAAAAGAGGGAATGATCATTTAAAGGGATCAAAGTGCCAAAATGGCTGATCATGCGATTGAAGACCCGTAACTTTGCTGGCCATGTCCGCATCCTCCACATCCAGTGATTGGCCATGGCAGTTTCAACGACTGCAACCTTTTATTTTGCACGCATAGGTCGGGTTTTGTTAACCGTATATATACTGCATACGCGGTAGCAAGCAGCCTCGCTCACAGTTCATGGTTGTATGTTGTTGGCACTTTGTAGATGATCTTGAAATCCGTTTGTTTGTTTACGCGATGATCGGTGTTGAGAAGGTGATTTGTTATTGAGCTGCATGATGTTCCTTCTTTGTGGTTACCGAGCCAACTCCCGAGAAGTTCCTTGACTCTCTGGCGTAAGTGTCTGGTCGTACGTTCAATGTACTTGGACCCACAGAATGAGGTAAACCAGTAAATTATCATCGGTTGGAGATGACCGGGCACACGGTCTTTAAATGACAACATAAAAGGAGGTCGGGCCTTTTTCTTCGACCTTATCTGTGGACCCTGACAATGCTCCAACCACCTGCAACTGGGGCTCATTGAATTGCAAAGTGATGTTGAATGTCACAGTCGGCACCATCAGCTCCATTTCATTAATTTTACCACTCGGTGGATAAAGATAGATTGCAAGAAATTCGAACATTTGTTGAGAAAGTGCACGGCTTGTTTGGCTCGACACAATTGTGTGGGCAAACATTCTCAGTTTTGAATTTCAACAAGGAACGTGTGAGGACAAGACTATGTGATTCATACCTACATGATATCTTGCATATCAAAACTAGTGGCTTTGAGTCTGACCTGACCAGTTTACTGTAGACAAGATTTCAGTTACACACAATGCATTAAAAACTTGAAAGAAATGATTTATAACATTTGTCAATTTTGTTTATTATCTAAATGTCAGGCTGAATGGCCCGACATGTTTTTAACTCACAAAATGTGACCTTGCGAAAAGTTTGGAAGCCCCTACTCTAAGAACTGAATAAAAGTACCTCGATTCCATTCAGGACGGAAAGTCCTGGTCAGAGTAAATCACACCAAATCATAGTGAATAACAAGTAAATTCAAAGCAGGCCTAGTGGGGTGTTCAGATTGACCTGAAGTGAGTAAATGGATTAAGATTAGACACTCAGTCAGTTGGGCAGTTTCGATATGCAATGAAATACTGAGAGCGCTCCATGTGCATCTTCTAAAGCAATTTCTGAAGCACCTAACAGAACTGATGGGGACGAAAAAGAGTGCCAAAAGTGGACCTAAACTCAGGGAGAAAACCAGCATCCGGAGATGTTAGATGGCATAATCTACATGAACTGTTCGGGTCCATTTGGACGTCTATAGCAGAAGCTTGAGCCTATCTAGCTAGAAGCTAGTTTGTTAGCGGCCAACCAATGAGAGCGTTTAGGTTCCACTTAAAGTTCCTAAACACTATTCGTTGATGTCGTCCATCCAGCTATGTCAATGTAACCGATTTCATTGTAGACAGTTCCGTACATCGTAGCAGTTGAACTGTTCGCTAACAAGAGCTACCTTAGACAAACTGGAAGGAAACTGGGTACGGGAATCACCGAGCACAAAGTGGCCATAGGAAGATATGATTCCAATTCGCGGATTTCCACATAGGAAGATCAAGAAGGCTACCACTTCGATCTGGAAAATGTGAAGAGTATTACGCAGTGGGAGTACAAAGCATGCGAGGGAATTTCCGAAAGCATGGCACTCTACAGCTGATTCACTCAACCGACGCATTGAACTGGACGCGGTCAACGCCAAAATACTGCCGAGGGATCGTCAGCCCAGTTGAGGAAATCCGGTGGACCAGAACACCAGAGAAACGGAACGAACGACAACCTTGAGCACAATAGTACCCACGCGAAAATCACGGTGCGCAGGTCGGAGGTCAAGTGCAAAGGTCACATACCCGTCCAACAAAAGGAAGACGGACAGATGTCCCAGCCAACAGGATAGCTCGCCTACGTGACCAAACACGGCAACATACAAAAACGCGCGCACACAATGCTCAACGCAATCTCATCGAGGTTCTCCTACGCTAAAATGCTTACTACAAACTACTCAACAATGTACTGATGATGTCACAACGATTAGCGACAAAACGTTTGCAACGAAATTGCTAAGTTCAGCTGCTACCAGAACAACCTGAGCTATCAATTTGTGCTTTTATTCCAGTTCCGTACATCTCGGAGTAACTGTGAGGAGCGCTGCCGTGGCCATTATCTCGGAACTTTAAAAGTATAAACAGTAACAACTGTATCTGGTTATCGGTTACTGTCAATAAAGGTATGACATGATGCCAGGCGATGGTAGTAAAAGTACGAAGCAACAAGCTGCACACAGCACAAGCACCATGTAACTGAGCTCGTAACCAGTGTACACAGGTCCCCAATGATCACATGTAAGGATGGAATGACCATTTGGTTCTCTTTCAGTTTTTAAAAAGAGAATGCAGAGAACACCTATGTAACCTCCATTCAGTGGACAATCTGGTATAAGTAATTCTGAAAATATTACCCAAGTGACACGAAGCATGACCCAATGGACAACAGACAAAAGCGGACCACTGTATCACGGTAACGTCCAACCACTAGGTGACGGACAGACGGCCTGGAGTTCACAGAGGTTATTTGACGTGTGGAAATATTCAAAGAAAGCACTCAGTTGTTCCACACAGCACTAAGCTTCAACACAAAAACATCTTCACATTCTAACAACATTCTCAGCCAATTTTCGAGACCGAGAATGAGAATTTCGCACAAGCTGAAACTGGAGTAA